TTTTAGGAGACTCAGCACCCACTCACGACAAGTACCCTCAACAGAGTACGCCAGAGGAGAGTGCCTCCACATGGCAAAGACCACGATGACCAGCCCACAGCTCACAGCACGCTCAGGGGTGAAAACGGAAAGTTCGCCTCTAAGATCAAGAACAAGACAAGGATGCCCACCCTCCCCCTTTTATGCAACTAGTCCCGGGCGTTGTAGCCAGAATTAGGCAAGAAAGACAAATAAAAGTCACCCAACTCAGAGAGAAGTGGCAGTTTCACTCTTGCAGATGACATGACGCCGTGTGTAGAAAATTCTAAAGGCTCCACCCAAAACTGTTAGAACTAATAGACAAACTCAGCAAAGTTGCAGGACACAAACCTCAACATACAAATATCTCTTGTGTTTCCGGACACTAATACACGACCAGAAAGAGCCATTAAGAAAACAATCCACTTACAATCGCAATAAAGAGAATAAAATTCCCAGGAACAAGACTAACCAGGGACACATCTAGGCATTTGCAATGCATGGGGACAGGCTCTGAAGAGACATTTTCCCAGACACATCATAGGAGGTGAAAGGCCCGCACACGGGACTATAAAACGTCGATGGAAGAAACTAAAGACTCGGAGAAATGGAAGGGTACTCCTTGCTCAGAACTGGAGGAAGGAGCGTCGTTAAAATGGCCATCTTGCCTAAAGCGATCTACAGATTCCACGAAATCGCTACCAAAATCCCCCTGGCATTTTCCACAGAAATAGACCAAGTAATCCTAACGTGTATGGAACCACTAAAGACCCAGAATAGGCCAAGCAATCCTCAAGGGCGGGGGAAGCTGGAGGCATCATACTTCCAGATTTCAAACTGTATTACAAAGCTACAGTAATTAAAACAGTATGGCATCGGCATAAAAACGGACACATAGAGGAATGGAACAGAGAGCCCAGGAGTAAACCCTCGCACACACGATCGGTTACTCGACGACACAGGAGGGAACGCGCGGTGGGGAAAGAACAGTCTCTCCATCAACGTGCTGGGAAGACCGGGCCGCCTCGTGCCGACAGTGAGGCTGGGCTGCTGTCTGACACCGAACACACAGATCAACTCCGAAAGGGCTTAAAATTCGAGGTAAGACTTGGGATCACAAAACACCCAAACAAAGCATAGGTGGTGAGCTCCCTGGCAGTGGTCTTGGCAATGTTTTTTGGATTTGAAACCAAAAGCAAGAAGGCAAAACAAAGTGGGGCCACACAGAACTAAAACCTACTTCACAGCAAAGGGACCCAGAACAAAACGAAAGGCAGCCAACGAACGAGAGAAAACAGCACAGATCGGATTGATAAAGGCTTAACGTTCAGAAACACAAAGAACTCATACAAGCCCTGGCCGGTTTGCTCAGTGGATAGAGCTTAGGCCTGCAGAAGGAAGGGTCCCGGGTTCGATTCTGGTCAGGGGCACATGCCCGGGGTTGCAGGCTCGATCCCCAGTAGGGGGTGTGCAGGAGGCAGCCCATCAATGATGCTCCCTCACCATTGATGTTTCTCTCTTTCTCTCCCTCGCTTTTCATCTCTGAAATCAATAAAATTATATATATATATTAAAAAACAAAGCAAAACAAAAACTCATACAAGTTCAACAGCAAAAAAAAAACCCAAACCAAAAACACCCAATCATTAAAACATGGGCAGGATGGGTGGAGGGGGGCAAAGGCCGGGGAAAATGGGGACATCGGGAATAGCGTCAACCCTTAAAAAAGCAACAACAAACGGAACACGGGAAGACGCTCTGAAGACGCCCCCAGGTACCTGGAAGGTGTTCAGCACCCGTCACTATTCACCAGGGAAACGCCAATCAAAACCACGGCCAGCCATCGCCTCCACCTGGCAATGGTGCTCACCAGAGACCGGGACCAGGCTGGCGAGAAGGCGGAGAAGGGGAGCCACGGGCCCTGCTGGCTGGGGGGCCGATCGGCGCAGCCCAGGCCCGGCACGCCCGGCTGCCACGGACCCAGCGACAATGGGAACCCGGAGGAAAGACGCGAGCACTGTGTGGTGGCTGACAACGGCCAGGTCCGGGCGGCCGGGGTCTGCGCACAGGTGAGCGGAGGGAGGTCAGTGGGGCCACACACAGGCACTGGCTATGCCGCAGCCGTAAGAAGAAGGAAGCCTTGCCCGGCGGTGCGGCTCAGTGGTTGAGCTTCGGCCTAGGAACCAGGAGGTCACGGTTCCATTCCAGGTGGGGGCACAGGCCCGGGTTGGGGGCTCCATCCCCAGTGAGGGGCGCCCAGGAGGCAGCCGATCCATGATGCTCTCTCATCACTGATGTTTCTATCTCGCCCTCTCCCTTCCTCTCTGAAGTCAATAAAAATATATTTAAAAAGAAGGAAACCTTGTCATTTAGGACAACGTGGATGGACCCTATGCTGAGTGGAATAAGTCAGAGAAAGACAAATACCATATGTGGAATCTGAGAGAAACAAACAAACCCCAAACGCACAGAGAGAACAGATGGGTGGCTGTCAGAGGCGGGAACATGGGTTCGGAGGGTTACACAGAAAAGCTTCCAGTAATAAGATGATTTCTGGGCGTGTCACACACACCAGGGCGACCACAGCTCATACTGTGTCGAACCCTTGAAAGTTGCTAAGAGAGTGGATCTTAAAAGCTCTCATCACAAGAAAAAGACACTGTAAGGTGGAGGAGGGAAGGGAGGGCATAAATGGTGATGGGAAAAAATTTAATTAAAAACAAAACTTGTTACTATGTGAGGTGATGGAGGTTAAGTACAGTTACTCTGGCGACCACTTCACAGCACACGCGACTATTTAATGGTTATGGTGTACATCTGGGACTCCTCTAAGTTATATGTCTGTTATATCTGAATTTTTAAACATGTTTTTATTGACTTCAGAGAGGAAGGGAGAGGGAGAGGGAGAGAGAGAGAAGCATCAATGATGAGAGAGAATCATTGATGGGCTGCCTCCTGCAGGCCCCGCACTGGGGATTAAGCTCGAAACCCAGGCCTGTGCCCCGACTGGGAATCGAACTGAGACCTCCTGGTTCCCAGGTCGACGCTCAGCCCCTGAGCCGTGTGAGCCGGCACATCCGCCTCTTTTAACAGAAGAGTCTACCACGCGGTGGGCCTTGCGGACGCCCTGCTCCCTGAAACACGCCGGACACAGAAGGACAAACCTGCGCGGCTGCGCTCACGGAGACGCAGGGCAGAGCCGGTGGAGGGGGTGCGGGCTGCGGTGGTGGCAAGAGGAAGCGTGATGGGCACGGCGGGATGGAGGCCACAGCGCGGTGTGAACGCATCGGTGCCACTCAGCTCTGCACTCCAAGTGGCTGAGATGGCAGCTTCGCGTTATGTGTATTTTAACACAATAAAAGCATCCACTCGCCTGGCCGCCGAGGGCCTGACAGCGAGAGGCAGGCACTAGAGGTGGGGGGGGGGGGCGGTAGAGCAGGAAGTCCCGGCTTCTCCACAGCGACCACGCCCCTCCTGGCCCTGCCACCAGGGACCCAGCAGGGTCCCTCCCAGTACCTTCCTCACAGCGGACCCCGCCCAGCGACGCGGCTGCGGGCCGTGGTCGGATAGGTGCGCACCCAGGTGAGGCACCTGCAGGAGGCA